TGGTGGTGGTATGAGATAGGTCGGGCGGAGCATTTACACCTTGGCGCCCCTGTTGCTAGATACCGCGTGTCTCTGCCAGCGACTAGTGAGTGCCGCACCAAGCTGACCGCCCCCCCGGCGAATCAGAGCGCAATTCCAAAACTCCTCCTCCTCCTCCTCCTCATCCTCCTCCTCCTCCTCCTCCTCCTTGGCCTCCTCGCCCTCCTCCTCCTCCTCCTCCTCCTACCTCCCTGCGCCTTCCCTCCCTGATCCTCCTCCTCCCTCCTCCTCACACTCTCCTCCTCCCCTCCTCCTCCTCCTCCTCCTCCTCCACCTGGTTCCTCCTCCTCCTCCTCCTTCCTCCTCTTCTCCTCAACCTCCTCCCTCCTCATCCTCCTCCTATTACTCCTCCTCTACCTCCCTCCCTCCTCCCTCCTCCTCTCCTCCCTTCTCCTCCTCCTCCTCTCCTCCTCCCTCCTCATCTGCCGCATCCTCTCATCCTCCTCCGCCCCACACCCCTCCTCCGCCTCCCCTCCTCCCCTTCTCCTCCTTCCTTCCTTCCTACATCCCTCCTTCCCTCTGCCTCCTCCTACTCCTCCTTCACCTCCTTCTCCTTCTTCATGCCTCTCAGCATTCATCATCCTCATCGACCCGCCCTACACCCCCTCCTCTCCTCATCCTCCTCTCTCCTCCTTCCTTCCTCCTTCCTTACTTCCTTCCATTCTTCCTTTCCTTCCCCCCTCCTCCCTCCTCCTCCCTCCTCCCTCCTCCCTTACTCCTCCCCCCTCCTCCCTCCTCCCTCCCATCCTCCTCCTCCTCTCCTCCTCCTCCTCCTCCTCCTCCTCCTCCTCCAACCTGACCTGGTCCTCCTCCCTCCCTCCTCCCTCCCTCCCTCCCTCCCTCCCTCCCTCCCGCCCTCACCTCCTCCTCCTCCTCCTCCTCCTCCTCCTCCTCCTCCTCCTCTCTCCAAGGCTGCCGCCCCCGAGGGACGCTACGGCTCCATGCGGGCGCCCCAAACGGCCGACAGCCTTATGTGGCGAGGCGAGGCGGG